TACACCTTTAAAACTAATTACGTTGATAACTTAATTGAAAAATATCTATATTTAATGCATATTAAAAAAAAAAACCAATGGTCAAGATTAATTATCTTATACATATTTTATTTTAAAACACACCCATTGTTGACACTTGGCCCAATCAAATTTAAACATCTTTCCGCCAAAAAGGAATCCCAGCCAAACCTGAATGGCTGCTTTTGTTTAGACCTGTGATAAACTATTCAGTTTTATAGTTTGCTAAGGCGTAAAAGTTGAAAATTAGGTATGTTACAATTAATTAATATTTTGTGTTCATTTAGAAATAATTATGATATAAAAGAATTAATTGTTTCGGTAATTGTAGACTATTTTCTACATGGTGCCATTTAATCCATGTAGCCGAACTTCTAGTATCATTTCATTATTGAACCATCCTTGCAAAGTAAATTGAGTATTTTAAATATGTTTTATTACCTCTTAAATGCTTTATTTTAGTTCTGAAACTTTAGTGTTTTTATTTTATAATTGTAATGCATTTTAATAATTTAGTTTTTGGTTAATTGCTTTGTCTGGATTTGGAAATAGCTATTTCAATCTATGTCTGGAATTGGAAGTGGCCATTTCAATAATTATAGTATTGTACAATGGACTTTCCCATTATCTATCATCTTTAAATTTATAGGGTTTCGAATTTCATGAATTGTTTAGACAACTTCATACTATCCCAAGCTTTGCAGTTAGTGCTATTGATAATGTAACGTATACAAAACTTCGAGTAGGAATTAATAAGACATTAATTTTCCGTGATTTATTACAAATGACAAGTGCATGAACTTGTGCTGTATGAACTATTTACATCGTCTTTAGTGAATGAAAACATTTTTGGCTACAATTCCTGGTTTTGAAGGTCAAATATGATATGAAAACGAATATCGGTTTGTAATTTTTTTAACCGTTTCACCAGTAGAGTAACCGAACCGTGAACGGTTAACCACGTCGCGGTATACATCTTAATTATTAGGCAACCAAGTCTACGATCTTAATTAAAAAGATGGGATGACACGCAACAAAACATATATGCCCTGAAAATTAAATCTTGTACTTTGTCGAACTACGGACAATTGATATTAATGTCGAACTACGGACAATTGATATTAATGCCAGGCTAGTGCGACTGTTAACACCACAGCTCTTTAATTGCATGTGTTGGTTTTAGATTTAATTCAAGTGAAGGGTAATTTTATTAGTAAATGTATAACATCAATATTCCTGAGCATACACCTGCATAATTGAACTGACATTGATTGTAAATATTACAGTAATTGAAATATAATAATATACTAGATGTGTTTCATTTATTTCCCGTTATAGCTATAGTAACCCATCTGATGAGTCTTAAGGTGGTTCCCAGTTTAAAGTCGTATTCTTTCTTTTGAAAACAAATTGATAAAATAATCGTACATTCGTTTTCCAATTGTCCCCGTCTCTTAGAATTAGATCTAAAAGAGAAAAAAAACATTGATTTTTTTCCCTTCTTCTTTAAGCTTCAATGTCACGCTGGCAAAAGTGGAGAAAGGATAAGGCGGACGCTGACTTGATTGCAACACAAAGTGATAGCGACGATGGGGGAACATCTTATATCAATTACCAAATCGATTCACCCCACTCCCAGTCAGACTGGGAGGAAAGAGTCGAAACCATTCAACAAGATAATGCTGAATTGAGTGATGTTAGTGATGTCGATTCAAATTTCTTATTTCAACAAAGTGTAGAGTCAGAGTCTAGCGATGAGTCAGAAAATGAAAAGTTTAATCTAAATTCCAACCTTGCCACTTGGGCTATTAAAAATAAAATAACGAGAAGCAGTCTCACGGAGCTACTTGGTATACTCAGAGGAGCCGGTCATACTGATTTGCCCAAAGATGCGCGAACATTACTACAAACACCTAAAAAAATCGACATTGAGAATAAATGTGGGGGCAAATACACTTATCTCGGCATTGAGAATGGTTTAAGAAATGTTTTCTCGCGTAATCAGAATTGTGTGAAAAATATTAAAAATATAGATTTAAAAATTAATGTTGATGGCCTACCCCTATTTAAGTCAACTTCTGATAGCCTATGGCCAATCCTTGCGTCTTTTGATAAAAATATTAGTCCATTTATTGTAGCTTTATATTATGGGAAGGAAAAACCGGATTCGGTAACTAACTTTATTAGTGACTTTCTGGAAGAATGGGATAACCTTAGACAGTGTGGAATACGCTGGGGCGACCAACATTTTAATCTATTTATTTCATGTTTTATATGTGATGCCCCTGCTAGGTGTTTTTTGAAATGTATTAAGGGTCATACGGGGTATTATGCTTGTGAACGATGCACTGTACGGGGTAGCTGGAATGGGAGGGTGGTTTATGACACGGTGGAGCAGGATATTGTGCCTCGTACTGATGAAATATTTTTAGAAATGGGTTACCAGGCAGATGGTCATCAAAACAACATTTCTGCATTAGGCGTATATGGGATAAAATGCATTTCAAATTTTGTACTGGACTACATGCATTTGGTTTGTCTGGGTGTAGTTAAACGTGTATTGCACTATTTAAAAAATGGACCAAGACGATGTAAGCTAGGAGGTCATCAGATATCTGCCATATCGGCCAACTTAAAATTGTTTCAAGGATTGTTGCCAAGTGAATTTGCGCGGCAACCTAGAGGACTAAATGAACTAGAACGCTGGAAGGCTACCGAATATAGACAATTTCTTTTGTATACTGGTCCAGTAGTTTTAAAAAAAGTTTTATCCGATAGGGCATATACGCATTTTTTAACATTGACAGTGGCCATGTCTATTTTATTATCGGATGATCCAGCGACCAGAAATACCAATGTTGATTACGCGGAACAATTATTATTATTTTTCGTTAAAAACTGTTACAAAATATACGGTGGTACTTTTAATGTTTACAACATTCATAACCTGGTTCATCTTGCCGATGATGTGCGAACATTTGACTGTTCATTAAATGAAATTTCTGCTTTCCCTTTTGAGAATCATTTACAATCTATTAAAAAATCAATTCGGAATTCAAACAATCCTATTGCACAAGTCGTTAAACGGCAGCGAGAATTAGAGTCAGCTGACACAGAGATGGAATTCAGTACATGTAACCCCAAATTCAAAATTAATACAACTGAGAAAAACAAATATTTTCTACTGACTTCTTCGGCATTCTGCATCATTCGAGAAATCAGAGCTGACAACTTTTATTTGGCAGACATTTTAAACCTGACACACACAGAGGCATTTTTCGATTCACCGTGTTCTTCAAAATTATTAAATATTGTGTTTGTGCGAAATTTCAATGGTACTAAAAGACGCCTAGTGGAATATGATGAGCTGGAGAGGAAAGTTGTATGCCTACCCCACAATGATGGCTTTGTTTTAATACCACTGCTTCATGGTCCTGAAAAAAGTTGACTTTTCTACGGAAGGTGGGAACTAATTTTTTGAAGGCCATTTTTTATGATTTTTATAAATTTCATGCAGGAACCAAAAATACCAAGTTCATTCAAATCCTTCAAGGCATGAGAAAGTTATGGCCGGACACGACATGTACAGGTAGTCGTACTGACGGAGACGTGACGTAATTTCAGTATCTCCCTTCCGAGTAAACTAAAACATATTTTGAAATTTCATGAGCGGATCCAGTGGGCGGTGGTGCTCAAGCTACACATTTCATTTTATAAAACAACACTTTTTATGAGAAATGTGTCTCGGCCGTGTTCTTTAGCCTTTATCGTCAGATGGTGCGACAGAATGGACACTCAAAGCGCGAGATAATGATATAGACATGTGTGATATCACAATTAATTCTTTGCATCAATAAAATTGAATCACAAGGTCATCGCATTAATTTATAATAAAAATTGACGTCAAACCTGATGTTGCATTTCTCTGTTTAAAAAGCTGAATGTGTGTGTATCATGTTGATAATCACGATGTACTTCTTAAAAGATTTCAAGGGAGGGATACATTGTCTAAGGAACCTGGCAAATCCCCTCCTGCAAATATTGTTGTTGGACACGCCCCTGAATTACTCCAGAATCTATAACTACTTAAGGAATAAAAATAGAAGTGTATCGTAAAGAATAATCATGTTTCAGAAAATATAATCATTTGTCCTTTTGGTCTATCTTTTATCTTGATTGCAATACAAACTTATATCACTTCTGCATTTAAGATTAACTTTGATCTTTACCTATTTGTTATTCAGGTCACACTATGGCTTGGGTGAGAGCTGTGTGGATGGAGAAGGGAGAGGAGATGGAGGAAGTGATGCCCAGTACATGGATTCAGGGGAAAGAGGTATTGTGGCCGCGCAGTTCGAACAGTAGCCGTCTTATTAAAGATAGACAGAACCCTGGGCAATCTTGGTACAGATTCCCACTTACTAAAATTAAATATTCATCAGGTACCATGATAAAAATTACCTTATATAACAATTATATCCCAGGTTTTAACGCAGAATCTGTCAAAAATGTGATTCCTGTGTCTCCCTCCCGTGTTCGATCGCTGTGTTTGCCAAGAAAGTTTATCGGGGCAACGTATAGTCGTTCGGATGGGACGAAAAACCGAGGTCCTTTGTATACATGGACGTGCACTTGAACGTGAACGATTCCTTTGCAGTTTGAATTCGATGTACAATGTGGAATATGTCCCGTATTCAATAGCCAAACAGTAGGGCGTTAAATCCATTTCATTTCATTTCATTTTGTAACCATTTCATTTAACATATTATAATTTTATACGAGCAGATGACATCGTCGAGTGTCAAGAGCACATATTAACAGAAACCGACCAAGAAAATAATGAAGCACACGGCAAAAGAAAAAGGCTAACAACTCGGGAAGACGGTTTTGTATATACAAGTAAGCTGAAACTCTAGTGTTCTATGTCCGTCTTCATTAGCCCAGGTTAGGAGCAGAACAGTAGGACGTTAAACCCCATTTCATTTCATTTCTTACTTTTACAACATTTCTTACAACTCGCATAGTTCACATGATGTAACCCGATTTATTATCGGCTACAGCCATAAATTTTAAACATTTTACAACATCACACAAAAGATTGACCTCCTAGGTTCTAGGTTACAATTGTTGATTCTTTTGACTTCCATATTGCGTATATATACCATACCATATATATACCATTTGGTGAAGTTCCAATAATTTTTATTTTCATTTTGTGGAAATACAATGGAATACTGAATATACGATCCTCTGTCGAATTTTGAATACTTTTCTACGAGATAAAACTGCTTTATTTCAATGCTGTGCGTGACTTTATTTTTTTAAAATATGGATCTGATTATTCTTTTTTTTCTATTAAGTTAGTTAACTTTATTGTGTTTTAGGTGATGTGACCGATGACAGTCCTGATGAATCGGGTGGTAAGTCATAGATAGAACACAGATATATGTATAGTCGCTATTTCTGTACCGATATCTGGCTAGCCTCTATAGGTTACCGAGCCAGTGTATCCCAACGTATTATAATGTGGCAGTCCTTATCGTTCGAAATGAATTCGTATTATACTTTGTTCGTTTAGAAATAAACTTGCTTGATTTCTTTACCTATAATTCTAGACTGGAAACCAGGAAATAAAAATAAAACGTCCTATCGTGGATGGATAAATGTCATTATATTTACAATAGTTTTGTAGCCATCGACACATGTATGATTAATGGTAAAATAAACGAATATAGGTAAAATATCTAATACTGCCATTTGCTGTATTCAACCCTAATTTTTTTCAAATATTTGTCGCTCTTATATTTCCAGAGGAAAACTTCATAAAGCCAATAAAAAAGATCAGACGGAAAATTATTGAAAGTTCACCATCTGGTATGTATAGTACGCTTCAGACAATTTCATTTGAAGCTCTAGGTCCGACAGTGCCCTTTTATAACCAATAAGCCCAGATTAATCTATGTGGAAAACCTGGGACCCAAGTGTTACGGATCCAGATGGTAACCGATTTGTGACAAAAGTCAATATATGGGACCCTATTTGTCCCATCTTGTCTGTGCTAATTGCCATGAAACCTAAAGCAATCGCTCACCGTTATCTGCCATTAAACTGTCTTTGATTTCTGGGTTTTGATATTTTGTGTGTGTATCTTTTCTCCATTGTAGACACTGAAGATCGGATGATTCATGACTTGCCGACTCCTTCATATATCTGCCCACCGTCAGCTTCAACTCCACTGCGACAACAGACTCCAACTTCTTCTCAATACACTCGTCCACAGAGTCGTCCTGAGTCAGCCCAGACTCCTTTACATCCACAGCCCGCCAAGACACATCTACAGACTGCAGGTATACAGCCAGCCCAGACTCGTCCACAGTCAAAACTCCAGACTCCTGTTCGACAACAAGCCCAGGGGAGTCCAGTACCATCACAATCTGCACCGAATACAGTATATCCAATGCCACATGCCAGTAAGTAGAAGTATTTGTTATAACAGTATGTAAAAATCGGCAGGAACTATATAGTGAAAAAAGTTACCCCCCCCCCCTCCATTATCACACACTCTCTTATTTAAATAAAGGATATACCTCTAGACTATTCATTCGATGTAACCGCAAAGAAATACGGACCCTCGTCTTGTCATACAATTTTCCTAGAGGTATGTGTAGCCTATATTAAGCCGACAATAGCCCTTATAACCAATAAGCCCAGATTAATCTATAGTGGAAAACCTGGGACCCAAGCGTTGAGGGTGCAGATGGTAGCCAATTTGTGACAAAAGCCAACATATGGGACCCTATCTTTCTGCGACACAACTACTGTGCTAACTGTCGTGGTACTTAAAGCAACCGCTCACCGTTATCTGCCATTAAACTGTCTTTGATTTCTGGGTTTTGATATTTTGTGTGTGTATCTTTTCTCCATTGTACTGCAGACGCTGAAGATCCGATGATTCATGACTTGCCGACTACTTCATATATCTGCCCACCGTCAGCCTCAACTCCACTGCGACAACAGACTCCAACGTCTTCTCAATATACTCGTCCACAGAGTCGTCCTCAGTCAGCCGAGACTCCTTTACATCCACAGCCCGCCAAGACACATCTACAGACTGCAGGTATACAGCCAGCCCAGACTCGTCCACAGTCAAGACTCCAGACTCCAGTTCGACAGCAAGCCCAGAGGAGTCAAGTAGCATCACAATCTGCACCGAATTTAGTATATCCAATGCCACATGCCAGTAAGTAGAAGTGTACCTCTAAACTATTCATCCTATGTAGCCGCAAAGAAAGAGGGGCCCTCCTCTTGTCATTATGCAATTTTCCTACAGGGGTTTATGTAGTCTCTATTAAGCCGACAAGAAGTGTGGACGGACCATAATAATTTGAGTTCTGTTTTGTTTACATTTAAACAGGCTTGATTTTACTTTAGCTAATACTAGAAATCTTATTGTGTCTGATTTTTGTATTGCAGTTTTTAATAAAAAAAATCACCTTAATATTAACAAGGAATGTTCTTTGTTCATAAACCATATCATATACATTACAGAATTCCAGAAAAAGGTGATCAACCTGTTGGTACAGATTCGTAATTCTGTAAATAATTTAGTGCCACCCACAACGAAAACATCTCCGCAGACGGAAGGGTCACCAGTGTTTTTGGAGATCTGCGACTGTCTTTCTGATTTGGAAGAGTTTGAAAGGCAGCTCGAAAACAGATCTGTGCGTCGAAATGTGGTATGGAATTATTAGTATTTCAAATAATACACTTGTTATTAATATTCAAATTACCTGTATTAATTAACTCTAAATGCGAAACAAGAGGTGTTTATCTCCTAATTCGATGTTACTTATATACTCAATAATTCATGCTGCAACTTGTTTGTTGTGACAATGCACCCATAATGTAATTAATGCACCCATAATGTAATTACATTTAATTACAGATTCAACAGCTGGCTCGAGTTGGGGGGACGAAAGTCAGCAGTAACGTTCAAAATGTTTTGAACAGGTGAGACTATCAACAATTTACTTGTGTGATGAATTTGGTTCGATATTTAGTAAGCTTTTCAATCAGTCTTTAAAGGAGTCAAGTCTCTAACTCAATATCATCCACAGTCTTCGATAATGCAACCACGGGACTCATTGTTTAATTAAACTCAACATCGGTGTTGTAACCGTGAAAAGATGGGCTTCTAATGTCCATTATTTAACACAAAGTGAAAGTTTTAAAATTGGCACACGAATCGCGTACAAGAATGGTTTCGGGTTTCGTTTGTAATAGACAGACTCGAAGAATGAAGTTAAATATACCCAAGAGAATACTATATGCGGGTGTAAACTTGAATAACCAGACGCCAAAGACTGCCATTAAATTTGGACTCTTCGTGTATTTCGCCGAACATAACTGATTAGACATTACAGTAAAAACAGAAACGATTGAATGTAAATCAGTTAATATATACATTCATATTACATTATTATATGCGTTGCAACCCATTTATGTCCATTTCTAGGTGTCAAGGAATGGAAAGTCAAAATTCGCGGTATTGTCAAACGCATAAACAGTATTTCTTTTTATTTTGACAGGTTGATGTCTAATTCTCTAATGGCGCAATTCAATTTAAAGGGAAATAAAGGCAAGAGGTCCATAATGGACTTGGAAATTTATAAAGTTGTCCGAGGTTTGTTTTTATCATACTCAATTTACGAACATATCCTTACATATTTGATAATCAAACATGGTATGGGCATACACGAGTTTTTTATACGCCCACATTGATCACTTCAAAAAATCTTGTGGACGCTCTAGAGGCTAAAGTTAATATCCAATTGACTTTAAATTTATATACAGTGTTTAAGGCCATGAAACGAAGAAGCCTATTGATTTTCAGCGATTTCCGATAATTACTGCCAGAGTTATGGCCCTTGATCACTTTGAAAAATCTTGTGGACGCTTTAGAGGCTAAAGTTAATATTCGATTGACTTTAAATTTATACACAGTGTTTAAGGTCATGAGACAAAAAAGTCTATTTATTTTCAGCAATTTTCAATAATTACTGCCAGAGTTATGGCCCTTGATCACTTCAAAAAATCTTGTGGACGCTCTAAAGGCCAAAGTTAATATCCGATTGACTTTAAATTTATACAGTGTTAAAGGTCATGAGACGAAGAAGCCTATTGATTTTCAGCGATTTTCGATATTTACTGCCAGAGTTATGGCCCTTGATCACTTTGAAAAATCTTGTGGACGCTCTAGAGGCTAAAGTCAATATCCGATTGACTTTAAATTTATACACAGTGTTTAAGGTCATGAGACAAAGCAGTCTATTCATTTTCAGTGACTTTCGATAATTACTGTCACAGTTATGGCCCTTGATCACTTTGAAAAATCTTGTGACGCTCTAGAGGCTAAAGTTATCATCCGATTGACTTCGGATTGATACACAGAGTTTAAGAGATTGAGACGAACAAGTATTATTGATTTTCAATGAATTTTTATGACTTGAACAGCTAAATCCATGATATTAAAAACCAAACAAGTTCTAATGGTTTTCTGATAATTACTTCATGAGTGTATTATAAAAGTTTCATTACCGAAAGAAGTAAAAATATGCGACAACACTTGTTGACTGCCCGGACGATTTAGCTGCTGTGGGCGTATGTTTCGTTGCCCGGCAACCTATCTTATTACTTCATCGATGAGTGTTGGTTTTTTTTTTGTAATTTAACACCCAAGCCTTTCGTACACGTACAAATTCATGGAAAATATGAAAGTTATAACACAAGCGATGTCTCATATAGAATGTGTTATTGGGTCATATATAATATAATTCATTGGAAATGAAATGAAATGAAATGGGGTTTAACGTCCTACTGTTCTGCTCCGACTAGGCTAATGAAGACGGGCAAACGCCATACCGCGTGCTATGAGGGAAATTTTGCCCGGGCAGCGGCACTATGGCCTACTCTTATATCGAATTCCAACTGCCAAGGGATCTTTTACTTGCACGTTAATGTGTACACAAGACCTCGGTTTTTCATACCATCCAAACGACTAGACAGCTTTCCTTGTCAGGCCCACTGAACTTTCTCGGCAAATGTAGGGATCGAAAATGCGACCTCCAGACAAGCGAGCCAGCGTTTTACCCACTTAGCCACCTTTGCTCCATAATTCATTTGATGCAGAATTATCTGTTACAGCTTCAAGACGACCTTTTTGATTGGACTGAATTATATAATTTACAAAATTTGACAGAGTAAATATACAGATTTTTTATTCTTCAGATAGTGTAATGATAAGCCAGCCGAGCTGCAATGAAGCCGAGATAACAACAGCAGTTTCGGCTCATCTAAAATATGCGCCCGACAGAAGAGGGGGTGGCGGAAGGGGCGGGTCTGGGACCAATTAAGTACAATGTACATATGTACAGTTTTTATTTGTTTATTACATGCCATATTTTATTATAATCTTTATATCCCATTTTAATTTCTTTTATCATCCATTTGTTTTTATTTTATTTTCTATGTGTGATGTCCACAAAATGTTAACTGTGCCATTGAGCAGTATTTTATATTGGTAATAGGCGCATTATAAATAAATAAATTATTATTATTATTATTATTACAGTACCAATTGCATTAAAATTACTTTCTCATTTTTAGCAATATCATTCATTACGATTACCCATTACATTGAAAGTAAATAATTACATTTTATTACTATTTAAAGATTGGTGCTAATTTAGCATTTAATCAATCAGATTTAAAGACAATAGTTTTACCATCTGATTGATTAAATGCTAAATTAGCACTAATCTTTAAATAGTAATAAAATTTAATAACATTAAATATGTTTCCTTGTTATATGCTTTTAAAACTCAAGTTATCACTGAATGCATAAGAGTATGGTTTTAATATATTTCTGTAAATCCTCTGTTTGATCTTTTATGAATGTATATTTAGTTAATCATAGTATATAGATCTATGCCTTATTTTATTTTAAACATGTTTCATTTATATAGTATAATGTGTATGGCTCTTGATCACTTCAAAAAATCTTGTGGACGCTCTAGAGGCCAAAGTTAATATGTAATTGACTTTAAATTTATACACAGTGTTTAATGTCATGAGACGAGGACGCCTATTGATTTTCAGCGATTTCCGATAATTACTGCCAGAGTTATGGCCCTTGATCACTTCAAAAAATCTTGTGGACGCTCTAGGGCCAAAGTTAATATCCGATTGACTTTAAATTTATATACTGTGTTTAAGGTCATGAGACGAAGAATCCTATTGATTTTCAGTGATTTCCTATAATTACTGCCAGAGTTATGGTACTTGATCACTTCAAAATATCTTGTGGATGCTCTAGAGGACAAAGTTAATATACGATTGACTTTAAATTTATACAGTGTTTAAGGTCTTGAGACAAACAAGTATACTGATTTTCAATGAATTTTGATAACTTTAACAGCTATATTCCATGATATTAAATGTTTCGTATACTAAACATTAGCATGAACAGAACTTTATAAAAACCAAACAAATTCTAATGATTTTCTGATAATTACTTCATGAGTTGTTACTCTTAATCAGATTTTAGTGTATTATAAATTTTTCATCACTGAAAGAAAGTAAAAATATGCGACAACTCTTGTTGACTGCTCGGACGATTTAGCTGCTGTGAGCGTATGTTTCGTTGCCTGGCAACCTATCTTATTTATTTGTGTATATATGCTTGATAACGACTTGTGAAATCTTGTTGAAACGTTGCAGTGAAATAAACCATAGTAATTGTTATTCCATAAAAGTGTGTTATTTGATCAGGTTCCAATTACTAAATGTCATTCAAAGAATGCACCATTAAATGTAATTGAAATGTAATTGACCATTACATGATTTTCGGAATGTAATTAATTACATTTCCATTACTCATTACTTTTGAAATCTTCCATTACTCATTACATGACCGTTACTTAAAATCTAATGATCAGATTCTATTACCTTTACCCATTACTGCAAAGTTATATGACTAGCATTAATATTGACTGCAATATAGTCGTTTGAATTGAATGTTTTGAAACTACGTACTGTTCTATGACTCACTGTTCTATCAATCGATACTGATTTTATATATCAGAAAGAAGCAATTAGTTTGGTTGTGATGGGGCACGATGACTTTGATTCTAATTGAGTCGGGCATTTAAGCCCCCACCCTTCCCCGCACACACACCTAATTTAACTTCCATCGTGCCCGTCCGCATATTCCCGTCTTCATTAGTCCAGTGGGGGCAGAACTGTAGGGAGTTCGGGTGGGACTTATACTGGGTTTTATACAACCTCAAAACAACAAATTCTGACGTCGTGACAACTTTTCGCCAACCACCACACAACGTTGCAAAACAAATTCTGACGTCGTGACAACTTTTCGTCAACCACCACTCAACGTTGCAAAACAAATTCTGACGTCGTGACAACTTTTCGTCAACCACCACACAACGTTGTGACAATGTTGCTTTGACGTCCGTACCACGTTGTCACAACTTTTCGTCAACCACCACACAACGTTGTGACAATGTTGCTTTGACGTCCGTACCACGTTGTCACAACTTTTCGTCAACCACCACACAACGTTGTGACAATGTTGCTTTGACCTCCGTACCACGTTGTCACAACTTTTCGTCAACCACCACACAACGTTGTGACAATGTTGCTTTGACGTCCGTACCACGTTGTCACAACTTTTCGTCAACCACCACACAACGTTGTGACAATGTTGCTTTGACGTCCGTACAACGTTGTCACAACTTTTCGTCAACCACCACACAACGTTGTGACAATGTTGCTTTGACGTCCGTACAACGTTGTCACAACGTAAGAGTTTGTTGCAAAACAACCTACAGCTGACTTATTTCAGACGTTGTGATACAACCTCTGAAAAACGTTGTCACAACGTTCTGTGCCCGCTGGGCTATGGTTTAGTCTGTCTTGGGTCATATTGCGCAATATAAATGAGTGACCTCGAGTGCCCAGCCCACAACTATCTATTGTAATTCACTGTTGGGGGGGGGGGGGTCTACAAACAAAACATTATTAACAAGTTTGATAATGTTCGGTTTAACCGAACTGTTTCACATCGGTACGACTACGACACGAGTACGAATTAAAACTTTCTTTTACTTTCGATTTATCATTAAAGGTTTTATTTTGAACGGTTCTTACTGGTATGTTTTTCTATTTCACTTGATTATGATATAATTAGACCTAATGATTACTATGATGCTAAATTATTTACTTGCAAAAATGTCATTTTAAGGTCGCCATTTCAGTTATAACTAAAATAGGAGCCACATGTACCAAGTCAATCCTGGTACCGCGTCAAACCGCGACACCGGAAGTAATCAATCGATCTGTAAACACAAGCATGGCCGCTGATAAACAGGTATGAAATGCGTCAGCGCGCGTAGGTAGTATTAATATTGATAATGATATAACGTCTTTTGAAAGGAATGAGAGTTTAGAAGTGTTGTTATTGAACAAAATTAAAGCACATTTATTTAATTATATTGCTGATATATGTATTAGTGTAACCGTTTACATGGAGATAAATGTAGTTTCGTAGCATCATCGAGATCAGCAGTGATATCGTCACGCCGGAAATATTTTAGATATATTCTGAAAGGGAGATAACAATGTTTATCTTTCAGATGATGTCAACATTGATAGTGTCTATTTCGTAATTTAATTTTCAGGTAATATCAAGTCTACCTGGTACCGTAGTGTTTGTATGTATTTAGCCTACAGTTGTAAAATGCAATACGTCTACTTATTTTTACAAGTGCAATGCCAATATGGCTTCCCGTATTGTAATGATCAACATCAAGGTCTCTAGCACACACCTTCAGTTTCTAAATTCTAGATAGAACAGTTTTACAGGGCTTTTATAATACATGTAATATAGCTTGACAACAGCAAAATACAACTGTATCTAGTGTTGTAAAGGTTACACTCTGATACCTTTAGTACCATTATACTTATAGCAATTTCAAAATCTGTCTACTGTTTCTTTCTAACAATTTTACAGGTAGGGGCCTAGGCATATCCAACCTTAAAGTTTAAAGAGAAAAAGGCTTCCATTGTTATTTCCCTAGCATATTCATGTACATATATAGTATTCCATATGTGGAAACCGGAGTGTAAGGCAGTCCATGTATACTAAACTTAGGCTGTCTGTCTACAATTCAATTAGCTCTACTTGAAAACAGACACTAAGCTAGTTGACCAACATTTTAAGTCTTAATGGGAAGACCAACGATTTTCAATAAGGTTTCCATAAATAATAAATATATATTTAGAAATAATCCCTCCTATAACATATGCAAAAAATAATTTGTAAGCGAGAAATTAATTTTTATTAATACCGGAAGTGACGTGGTTGGTTCGACACGCTCACTGGTCACTATAGTAAACATACAAATTTGGAGTAAGTTTAGCGCTGTATTTTGTGATCGTTTCGCCGTTTGGCAGAAAATCTGATGAAAGGTAATCTTTATTAGGATATTAAGAACAAGAACTTACGGTGTTTTGAAGGTATAATATACAACGCGTTTGTGTAAATTAAGTTTCTAAACTGGACACTGTGACACAATTTAAGCCACATGGCTAATTGTTTACATCACGTGATAGCTGGCACGTGACAGATATTAACCGAACAAAAATTGGCGACCTATTCGGCTAGCGACCTATTCGACCGATCCAGCTGGCAACCTGTTCGTTGGCAACCTATTCAGAATAAATTCAACAGTCGCCCAAACTCATCTATTTTTATCAACCAATAAAATCCAACGTAACGTCTATCAAATGAAAGTAGAATATATTATCATTTATCCATTCCTTTAGCTCAGAATAGAGATGTAATTTCGCATTATCTTACAAAATTCGGGACATCCAACTAAATATATTCCAAAAGTTGGCACAATCATATTAAAGGGGTGCGCTCTCATTCTGAATAGGTTGCCAACGAACAGGTTGCCAGCTGGATCGGTCGAATAGGTCGCTAGCCGAATAGGTCGCCAATTTTTGTTCGGTTAATATCTGTCACGTGCCAGCTATCACGTGATGTAAACAATTAGCCATGTGGCTTAAATTGTGTCACAGTGTCCAGTTTAGAAACTTAATTTACACAAACGCGTTGTATATTATACCTTCAAAACACCGTAAGTTCATGTTCTTAATATCCTAATAAAGATTACCTTTCATCAGATTTTCTGCCAAACGGCGAAACGATCACAAAATACAGTGCTAAACTTGCTCCAAATTTGTATGTTTACTATAGTGACCAGTGAGCGTGTCGAACCAACTACGTCACTTCTGGTATTAATAAAAATTAATTTCTCGCTTGTAAATTATTTTTTGCATATGTTATAGGAGGGATTATTTCTAAATATATATTTATTATTTATGGAAACCTTATTGAAAATCGTTGGTCTTCCCCTTTAAATGTACGATTTAAGTTGAAACACTAAGTAGGCTGTATTTCGAGAATTATAGTAGGACCACCTTACAAAATAGTATACTAATTCTTGGATATGGCGGCCATTTCGGACAGAGATCTATTTTAGAAGTAGAGTAGATAGTTAGTAAAAGCTGCTATACATTAATACACAACGCCGTGAACGGCAATTTTTGGACCGGGAACTGAGCTCCAATCGCTGCTCATCTTGTTCTTGTTCTTGAGAGACAATTCATGTACGATCGAGATAAAACTTTCAGTTTGATTGATAGGCTTCAATTTTTTTAATACATGTATGTCCCAGTTCCAAGATGGCTGCGATGAAATCACACTCGATTTTTTGGTCCACAGAATGCTAGTATTTGTTAATACAACTTAGGAACTATTGTACATTTGACATAAATATAAGTTAATCAAATTATTTGAAATAGAGAAGTGTTTCTACTATGGTACATGTAGGCCTACTAATAAGAATTGACCTTTTAAGTTGGTATAGTATAATAATATGTGTTATAATCCTCTGTTCTTTTCTTGCCAAAAATGACATAATTTGCTTCATAATGTGTTCTGTCTGACGTATGAAGTATTCCTACTTAGGTATATTTCTAAGAAATATAAGTTTTAAGATTTAATATCAGTCGTGGATGGTTTTCAAGGAGTTCAGGGATTATTTGTGTAAAATGCTTGGCTATAAAGATGCCAGTGCTTGTTTTTCATGTGAGATGAGCTTTACTCCGAATGTGTTTTTTTATAAAATAGTGTGTAGAGATGAGTCAATCATCTAATCCATTTTATCTGCAGCAACAATTTGTTTTTTTAAAACAGAACTTTATTTAGATTTGTATCTGATTGTGGAACAGATATAGCCTATATTGGACCCCACTCCCAATTATAATCTTGTCGGTGAGAATGCAAATTTTGATGTAATCTTATTTGGTTGGAATAAATTTGGTGGTCATGCTAATCAAGAGCATATCCTGGGTTTGAATCCAGAATTGGCCTGAAAAGAAATTGGAGGTGTTATCAAGCTCGGCATTGTCAGGGGTGGTAGCTGCAAGGCTAAAAATGAGTGTGTGTCTGTGACTAATGTTCATATTGATGTGCACTTAAAAGAAACATTAAGAGTAAGAAAGAGAGAGATAGAGAAATGGGGTTTAATGTCCACTCGACACAAACTAGGTCATTTTGGGACTTACATATGGTTTAATTTTATTTCAATATTTCACTTGCCCGTAGGGGTCTTTAGCAGTGGGAGGAAACCGGAGGACCCGGAAAAAACCCATGACGTTGGACAGGCGACCCTACTCTTTGTCACGTACTATTGGGGAATCGAAACCACGCCAGTTGACTCAATGACAGACCTTATGATACAGTGCGCACATGCTAACCATTCGGTCAATCAACCCCTCCTAAGAAATCAAAGAAGAGTATATGAACACACCCCTGCTGTGGTAAAATAAATAGTGTTTTGGGCGTGTCTCTAAATGACCAGGGAGGGTTGGATGGCTGAATGGTTAGCACATGCGTGCTGTATCATAAAGTCTGTCATTGAGTCAACTGGCAGAGTTTCGATTCCCCAGTTGTACGTGACAAGGAGTAGGGTCCTCTGGTTTCCTCCCACTGCTAAAGACCCCTACGCGCAAACGAATTATGGAAATAAAATTGAACCATATGTTAGTCGACCTAGTTTGTGTCGAATGGAGTTAAACTCTCTCTCTAAATGACCAATAAGTATTGTGTTAACGAAACACATTTCATTCCAATCAAGAAGCTTTTTTTGTGTAAAATGTATGTGGATGTAGTCTTAAAGTGTAATTTTTGTTTTTATCTTTCAGGCCAACAAAATGGTTGAATTAACGAAAACATTGACAACATTATCTCTTCTCCTTTTTGTTTTTTACCCATTGAACGTGTCTTCAGAGATTCGAATAAATGAAGTGAAACTTTGGGGAGATGACCAGTTTGTAGAATTGAAAAACATTAATGAAACAGCTGCGGTTCCACTGGCTGGTAACTTTTCTCTGATTTTAATAGACGAGCCACCACATCCGGTTGATTTTCTTCAAGTGTATCAAGTCGTAAATATTTCGAATTTCAATGAAATAAAGGCTGGTGGTTTAGTTGCTATTAATGTTTCGTTCCCTGACGACGGAGTACTGAGTTCCACAGAAACTAAAATTGGAGTGGTGTTAATAAAGCATACTGAAGATGAAACAGAATTTAAGAAAGGAGACAATGTTACTCTCGAAAACCAAGAAGATGCGCTAGTGTTTAATCATGATACAGAAAATAGTTTAACTTTATTGTCGTACATTGTAAAGCACACTCTTGATCACAACGTTGACCTAAAAAAAGATATAAATGAATCACTTGGCAAGTGTAACGAGGGGATTATGTTTAATTACATGACTCCTTCCAAAGGAACAGAAAATTCATGTGGACCAGGTAATGTACTTAGTTGCAATTTTCAATGAAAGGGGCATTATGGGAGATTAGATAAAGTGTTGACAGTTCTCAGTATCATAGTTTAAAAATAGACAACTTAAAAAGAATATGCTGAAAATTTCAGTCAAATTGCTCCACTCTGAACTGGGATATTGGCGATTGAATTTCAGGACTAGCCTCGATCATCATTACTAACGTCAGTACGATAAAAGACAAAGTCTTGATTATCCATTTTTATGTTTAATTATTTTTCAAAAAATATGTTCCAATCCGCTAAATATCGCAAACTAGCAATGGCATCGAGCATTGATTATGGTCTGGATAAGTTAAAGATACATTATGGGAGATTAGATAAAGAGCTGGCAGTTATCACTATAATAGTTAAAGAATAGATAATGTAAAGGGAATTTGCTCAAAATTTCAGTCCAATTGATCCACTCCATTTAGCGATTGAATTTTTGGCCTAGCTTCGATCATCATTATTAAAGTCGGTACAATAAAAAACATAGTCTCGATAATCCAGTAAAAATCTCAGACTAGCGATGGCATCGAGAGTTGATTATGGTCTGGATAAGTTAATTAATGTCTAATTAATAAATTAGATAACATTTCAGGCCTAAAGAAAGACCTGCAATAGGCAGATTTAGCTCTTGCATAATGTGCGTTTCTTAAATGTCTAATTAATAGTTTATATAACATTTAAGGCCCCAAGAAAGACCTGCAAAAGGCAGATTTAGCTCTTGCATAATGTATGTTTAAATAGACCATACAAAAAAGAATCCTGCTTCTCAGATAGTTGGTCTCAAAAAACTGATGCAGAAGGGAGGTTTTTATTTTTGTGTTTTTATTTTGTCATAGAATCAATACTGTTCTGGTTTTACTCTTTTCACAGGACTACTTTTATCTCATCATGTTATTTATAGACATGTATGTTACCACACTGATCAGCAGTGAATTTTCGCCAGGTCGCTACAATCACTGATAAGGATGACATCGATGCGACTTAATGAGTCCCAAATATTAACTTTTTTCTTCCGTCAAATTAAATTCTAAAACATTTTTTCATTTATTAGAAAAATAAATAAAGACGTTTGAATTGTTTGTACATGTAGGTAAAAATCATTTCCTATTTAGTGTAAATGGGTATTAAAATAAGTAAAATTCACCATTTAGCCCGAATCAGTAACGTTTTATGTAAACAATGCACGCGCTATTGAGCCAATGATTGACGCCGTGTGATGTGACATCACATGTGGAAACAGTCATCTGTTACAGAGATATTAAAAGATCTCTGTGAAACAGATTGGTGTGTTACATGTACATGTATTATGATTATAATGTCAGTACTATTTATCAGGGTTGATCCTTGAATCGTATCTCAATTCACCATCTCCCGATTCACATATTGAATCGCTAGATGCTTTTTTTTTCCTTTTTTTTTTTCGCTTCAGTAAGTAACCTATGACTCTTAATTATCTACATCACACATTATCCATAGGTACACAAACACTCTTAAATTGTTCTGGTCCTTATTTTGATCCACATCAATATCGTGATATAAAACATTTTTATTTCTACGACATCGGCAAGACCAAGAATAACAATTTTTCATTTATCCTGTTGTTTTCTTGGTAAATATTGACCTGGTTATGAATCCTGATACGAAGCGTATCGTAGCACAAGAATCGAAATATGTATCGTATTGTGACTGCAGTGGCAATACCCAGCACTACTCCTCTGGGTTGTGCTCCACCCACTGCTAGATAAATCTGATTATTGGAATATAATTGCGTCATATGTTAGTCCCAAAGTGACATATCTAGTGTCGAATGGACGTTAGACGCCATTTCTCTCCCAGGTCTTTAAAGCCAGAAGAAAAGTCATGATTTTTTTTGCGGTGTGGAGTGTGGACCACAAGCTGCAGGTTGGAAGATTACCACTTTGACAGGCCTGGAAATAACGGTTTTAAATGTACCTGACAAAATGTCAGGCACTAATGAAATAGTACCTTACATTTACAACTTAGTGCCGGATATGTATTAATAATATCAATAAAAAAAACAAGTCAGTGCCGGGCAAAGTGACAGGCACCAGAGGTTTTGTGCCTGACAAAGCCTGAATCTGTGCCTGACATTGTCTGTGACAGGTGCCTTATTTCCAGGCTTGTAGTTCGAGCTATCTTTTACATATCATCTTATTAATCTTATGTATCTAATTTTGCTGTTGCAGCCCCAGCAACTGTCACAAATGTGGCAACTCTCGTAACCGAAGCAACAACAAACAACAGCACTGTAACAACCGTGACTACCATGACTGACGCAAATAATAGTACGACGGTTGCACCGCCAACAATATCCACAACAAATACATCAGCCGTGACACCGACAACAAACACGTCAGCTGTGACATCTGCAACAGACACAACAACTTCTGCTAATACTGCTGGAAAAGCTGTGCTTCCTACCAATCCTACAGTAAACCCAACCAGTGTAAAACCAGTAGATGAATCATATCTGCAGATTAATGAACTAAATCTTCTCATGGAAGATGAAATTCGGTTTATCGAATTATTAGGTGAGATTAAAAGGATTTTTGATTTATTGCTGGGGATGTAAATATAAAAATCTTTTATAGCGGCAATTGTCGTTGAACTGTTGCTTTTGTTGATAATTGATTCAAGCACAGCTATAAATTGCGTAGAGAATAGATTACATGATTTAAAGAGACAATAACACTCTTGCTGGCTTGACAGCTCCAGAAAATAAATAATAACCTTATTTTAAGTACTAGATGTTTATGTGCCCTACCTGTTGTGTAAATTATCTATTACATCCTATTTTACTTGTCCAGAGGGTTCGCAAATATTTTTAAATCCAAGTCACATTTGAAAAGGTTTACGTTAGGCTTATCAAATCATTTAATTGAATTTTTCCAATTTTTGAAATTAGGTGTGTGAAGATCAAATTTGTATCATCAATTAATTGGAATATTGTAAAATAGTACAATTTGTTGACTAGAATGAAGATTGGGACATATTATTCATTACAAGAAGAGTGGTATTGAGGCTTTAAGGAAGCATTTTCTAATAGTAAGTGCAGGAGGACCGCACTATATGCAAAAAAACCCGAGACAAGACAAACCTGCGTATGACAAACTACATGTACAAAGACATTGCAAGAAATAAACAACAAATATCAAATCAAGTGAATGGATTCAAGCACCAGCTGTAAGCTAAGTGGGTAAGACGCTGGCTCGCTAGCCTGTAGGTCAGGTGTTCAATCCCTGCATTGGCCGAGAAAGTTCATCTTGATTTTCTGGAGTGGTTCCCCCTTGTCAGTGATGCAGGACGGAGGGCCTGACAAGGACCCCAAGGACAGCTGTATAGTTGTTCAGATGGGACGAAAAACCGATTTCCCATATACACATTGGCGTGCACGTAAAAGATCCCTTGACAGTAGGAATTCGATACAAGAGTAGACCGTAGTGCCACTGTCCAGGCAAAATGTCCCTCATAGCACACTGTATGGCGTATACCCGTCTTCATTGGCCCAATTCGGAGCAAAACAGTAGGACGTTAAACCCCATTTCATTTTGTAAGCGTCCAGTCCTGGGCCTGTAATGATGCAAGCTTCCCTCATTGATTTACAAGAAAGAGGTAATAGAAATAATGCGACCGATCTCAACAGTGTTATAATTAGATAAATTATCTGCTTTAGGCCGATTTAGCTCTTGCATACAGTTGGAATTTCTCCAGTTTCCTCCCACTGCAAATTTTTAAAAGAAAGAAAGGTCTAAGTCATGTTCTTTACATCATTTTGTGCAAGTATTAGGATTATCAATGAGGTTTATTTTTACACAAATCTGGCTCATTTATGTCGTCTGCAGGGGAAGCCAAATATGGTGAAATCTTCAATTCATCATATCTTTGTAAATATTGAACGGAAGTGAACAAATTTTGGACTAATATTCCTTTCAGAGAATCGTCTTTCACAATATTGTGGTTTAAAAGGGATTCCTCCATCCCCCCAAATGACAATCTGATTAAAACACAGATCCTATTTCGTTTCGTTTTTATAGTTCAAAATTATGTTTTACTTGTCTTTACTACTCCAGGATCTGAAAGAGTTGTTATTATTGACGTGTTCTGAATGATGTGAGGGATTAGCCAATGAAACGGTCTGTTACGACGAGCTTCAGGCGTGTTTTGCACGGAACTGTGGGTAATCCACTAGTAACATCAATGCTGATTGGTTAATCAAATGTCTGACGTCATAGGGTCAAAAGCTGCTCGTATGACCTCGTATGATCGCTACAACCGGTCAGATCTTCATGTAGTGTAGTCCATCGAAAGTATAAGAAAACTAAACGAAATATACATCTGTACTTTAATCAGATTGACAAAATGACTATCAGTGGCTTTAATGATATATTTTATTTTTTAGGACCAATAAATCATGCATTTGTTAATGAAACCATTGGAATTGAGATTATTGGAGGAACAAGTGGTTCAACTCTCCTTGATATTAAAGTTAATAAAACTGATGTACAGGGACTTGCTCTTATAGATAACTTGCCTCAGGTTCGTAAACAAAGAGATTGATTTAAAAGCAAGAGGTGGCCGAATAGTTTTAACAGCTGCACTTTTGGTCTGTCATTCAGTCAAGGGTGGGGTGGGATGTGGATGTCTGAATGGTTAGCGTGTGCGCGTTGTATTGAGTCAACTGGTGTGGTTTAGATTCCTCGGTTGTATGTAACAAGCAGTAGAGTCTCCTGTCCACAACCTCATGGGTTTTCTGCAGTTCCTCCAGTTTCCTCCCACTGCTACACCCCCTACGTACAAGCTAATTATTGGAATAAAAAATTGAATTATATCTTAGTGCCGAAATGAAAGAGTTTTTGTCGAGTGGACGTTAAACTCCATCTCTCTCTGTCTCTCATTGAGTCAACCAGGTCGGAAAATCCCGATGAACTTTCTCGGCCAATGCAGGGATCAAACACGCAGCCTCCAGGCTAGCGAGCCAGCGTCTTGACCACCGTGGCTCCCTGTCGAGAAGCGTGGTTTCCATCCCACACTTGTACAAGCCCTATGTATTTCCAGTTCAATAAATAAATGCCATTGAATCAATTATTCACAATGATGTTTATAAAACTTGTACATGAATGGTGACAAGACGTAGGGTCGGCTGCCCAACCATGTGAGTTTTTTCTCTAGTTCGTCTGGTTTCCACCTCACCTAATGTTAAAGATCTCTACGCGCACGATACAGCTTCTTTGGTTAGGGTCAAAAACAAGTGTTCAGTTAAACTTTATCTATTTTGTGGTGGAGGCAATTATCCACATTTAAAATACAGATGTGACGTCATCCATTGATGTCGGCGTACCATTATTTCCAATAATGTACGGGCAACTTGTCAATTGTACATTTTCTATACTAGATGAAATATTGGACTCATGTGACGTATTTTATTGAAAAGCATGTTTGGGATAGTGTCTGTATTTTAAGCTCTTGACCATTAAACCATACTTAATATTTGGTTTACATCTAATTTTACCCTGCATAGTGTATAACTGTCTTATTGGCCAGGTTGGCTAGAAAAAAACTAATTTTATTACATTTGATTTATATTGCTGCTGTAGCATTAACAGCGTATTTTGTAATTGTATATTTTACATTAACAATTAATTGTTTAATTGTGTATTAACATTAACAATGTATGTAGTAATTGTGTATTTAATATGATCAAGTTATGTTGCTATTGTATATTAACAATGTATGTTGTAATTGAATATTAACCATGTATATTGTAATTGCTACTTTAACATTAACAATGTATATTGTAATTGCTACTTTAACATTAACAATGTATATTGTAATTGCTACATTAACATTAACAATGTATGTTGTAATTGTGTATTTAACATTAAGAAGGTATGTTATTGTATATTAACATTGGAATATTACAATGTATAATGTAATTGAATATTACAATGTTTGCTATAATTGCTACTTGGACATTAACAATGTATGTTGTAATTGTGTATTTAACATTTTCAATGTATGTTGTAATTGTGTATTTAATATAAACAATGTATGTTGTAATTGAATATTACATTGTATGTTGTAATTGCTACTTTAACATTAACAATGTATGTTGTAATTGAATATTACAATGTATGTTGTTATTGCTACTTTAACATTAATAATGTATGTTGTAATTGCTACTTTAACATTAACAATGTATGTTGTAATTGAATATTACATTGTATGTTGTAATTGCTACTTTAACATTAACAATGTATGTTGTAATTGTATGTTGTAATTGTATATTTTATATAAATGATGTTTTAATTGTGTATTTTAGATAAATGAAACATCTCTAGTAATTGTGGTTTATCATCAGATGCAAAAATCAAAAGACTGGCTGGATATCTTAATGATAAGTGTGGATGGTAATTTGAACTCCTCAGTGTTTGAAAAATACAAAAAACCAAACTTACACCAAGTTTTCATCTTTAACTCAAGGTAATTATAGTTTATTCCTCTAAAGCTGTTTTATACCCCTAAAGCTGTTTTTATACCCCTAAAGCTGTTTTTATATTTTACACACCTTGGGATGTTATTTCCTTTGATCTCCCATGCATGTTATAAAATGTATCAACCTGTTGTGACGTCATCAGAGGGTGATATCCGATATCGGCCCTAGGGATGATATCAGATATTACCCTCTGGTGACGTCACAACAGGTTTACATCACTCTGCAAAGAAAAAGGACACAAATTCTTTCTTTTAACATTTTATTCAATGTTGTCAAACGATTCGGAAGACGAACTCTGCCAGGCCCATGTTACTTAGCTTCTTCATCTGATCATCAAGAACTTGTCTGAAACTCAAATTCTGGATTGTGTAGTATATCCATCAGTTTTATTCCTAATCCGTAAATGTGAAACTATTCCCATAACTTACAACTTGTTTTCTTAATTTTGTTATATCAGTCGCAGGGCCGATATGGGCTAAACCATTGTCTTATAGGTGAAATCACACATCAACCCTCGGTTAGGGTAATATTTATCTCTTATACCCCTAAAGCTGTTTTTATATTTTATACCACCTAAAGCTGTTTTTGTATTTTATACCCCAAGCTGTTTTTATATTTTATACCCCTAAAGCTGTTTTTGTAATTTATACTCCAGGCGTGTCCAAGCTGTTTTTATATTTTATACCCCAAGCTGTTTTTATATTTTATACCCCTAGCTGTTTTTATATTTTATACCCCTAGCTGTTTTTATATTTTATACTTTTCTGCACCCACAGTGCTATTGAAGACGGGCATACACCAATGGTGTGCTATAACGGAAATTGTGCCCTTGCAGTTTGGAACTTTTCTTGGCCAACACCAGTCAGACAGCACCCTGCTCTGTGCTCTAAGCCACTGATTCTCTGCCTTATATTGACTAAACTGTATTTTAAAGGAGCTAAATCACTAATATTTGGGACCTAGAAATTGACACAAATGGGTTGCAACGCATATAATAATATAATATGAATGTATATAAACTGATTTACATTCAGTCGTTTCCGTTTTTACTCTAATTTCAAATCAGTTATGTTCAGCAAATTGGCGGTTGTTTCAATCTGGCTAATCCCGCACATATACCAGATCGTTGCAGGTTATGTAACAACTCTTCCAGATCCTAGTGTAGTAAAGACAAATAAAACGAAATTTTGAACTCTAAAAAATGAACCGAAATAGGATCTGTGTTTTAATCAGATATTTAGTGTGGTTTAAAGGTCAAGAGCAAGATATTAAGCAGTATATTGATACTGCAAATGGGCGTCAGCCGAAGTTGTGTATTAATATATTACGCAATGTCTTGTTCGTAAAGAACAGAAAATACAGGTACTATTCCGAACGTAAATATAATGTACAGTGGACTCTGTCACATCCGATGTCTGAATACTGCAATATTCTGTGAAATCCGACATCATTTTCATGTCCCGATTTATTTCCTTATTACTTCAGCCAAAAAAGCTTTGAGTAATCCGACATATTATAATGATCCCGTACGATGTCGGATTTGACAGAGTCCACTGTATAAATAATGTACAACTGGCATGTTGCCTGTAAAATTATTTGAAATAATGTCATACATGTACTAACATTAGGGATGACGTCACAGTTGAATTTTAATTATATTTATTACAGTAAAATGGAGTTTAAAGATGAGAAGATTGCCATCAGTAAATGTAAAGAAAGTGGGGGAATAGTTAAACAAGATTCACGTAATTATATGTTGGCGTATTCTACTAAAAATCAAACCAATAACTGCACAACATATTATCATGCCAAAGTTCAACTAAAACTAACAGATGCGAATTGTTCCAAATTTAGAGATTCTAGTCAGAAGAAAAAGTTGATAGATGAGATTGTTAAAGACGTCGGAATGAAGTGTCAATGTGGAATATCATCGTACTCTTTTCAAGGTAACTTTACAGCTACTTTTGTTCCGTCTGTCTTCATAAGGGGGGTTGGGTGGGCGAATGGTTAGCACGTGCGTGCTGTATCATACAGCCTGTCATTGAGTCAACTGGCGTGGTTTCGAATCCCCGGTTGTAGGTGTCAAGGAGTAGGGTCGCCTGTCCAACCTCGTGGGTTTTCTCCGGGTCCTCCGGTTTCCTCCCACTGCTAAAAGACCCCTACGCGCAAGCAAATTATTTAAATAAAATTAAACCATATGTTAGTCCCGAAATGACCTAGTTTGTGTCGAGTGGACATTAAACCCCATTTCTCTCTCTCTCTGTGTCTTCATAAGCCCTGTCAGAGCAGCACAGTAGGACGTTAAACCCCAATTCATTTCAAAATTTGTCTATACATGTATTTTCACCCTATATATTCAAATACAATTTATGGAACTATTATAATAAGCAGCCCATCTTCATTAGCCCATTCGGTGCAGAAACGTAGGACTTTCAACCCTATTTTATTTCAGTTATTTCTGTTATTAAAAACTGTCTACTAGGGATGGGGAAAGTGTTTCAAAATGTACTGTAGACCCCATGTTCCTGAAGCAACGACTGCAAGTTTTACACCATCTGGACGTTGCTAGATTGCTTTACAATTCCAGAACTTATTGTTACAGCATATTTATAGTGTTTCCTTTCATAGAACATGTTTAGGGGCACTTTACAAAGTGACAATGTAATCATAAAAAGACAACAAGGTTATGTTGGCTATGTCCATTTACTGCCCACACTAGACACAAACACAGCACAAATCAAATATAGCGACCTCCACAGAAACCTTGGCATTGAACGCACCTTGAACTTTGCAGCTCAGTTATCACAGGTAGACATTTTAGCTTGGACAAGTGCCCCCCCCCCCCACACCTTCAATAATGGCCTACTCTGGGGATCATTAACAAGCTGCCCGTGGTATAAACAGGAACTCAGTTGACAATCCCTCCACCCCCTTTCAGTTCTTCGGTCCGATCTCAATGACTAGACATTTTCCCTGTCCCATAGCAACAAAAGTAAATGAAGTTATAAAGTTCAGTATATATATCCTATTAAAGATAAAATATCGGAGATTAGATAATTAAAGAGCTGGCAGTTCTCACTATAATAGTTAAAAACTAGATAATGTAAAGGGAATTTGCTGAAAGTTTCTGTCAAATTGATCCACTCTGAACCGAGAATTTATGGATTGAATTTCGGACCTAGCCTCGATCATCATTACTAAAGTCCATACGATAGTATCGATTATCCATTTCTTGATTTAATCATGAATTTGCGTAGAGCAGCAGATCGGATCCTAATCTAGTAAATGTCGCAAGCTAGCGATGGCATAGAGAGTTGATTATGGTCTGGATAAGTTAATTAATGTCTAATTAATAAATTAGATAAATTAAAGAAAGACCTGCAATAGGCAGATTTAGCTCTTGCATTAGGGGATCACGTGGCTAAGTGGGTAAGACGCTAGCTCGCTAGCCTGGAGGTCGGCGTGGTTCTCCCTTGTCAGTGATGCAGGACGGAGGGGCTGACAAGGAAAGCTGTCTAGTCGTTCGGATGGGACGAAAAACCGGGTCCCGTGTACACATTGGCGTGCACGTAAAAGATCCCTTGGCAGTTGGAATTCGATATAAGAGTAGGCCGTAGTGCCGCTGTCCGGGCAAAATTTCCCTCATAGCACACTGTATGGCGTATGCCCGTCTTCATTAGCCCAGGTTAGGAGCAGAACAGTAGGACGTTAAACCCCATTTCATTTCATTTCAGCTCTTGCATTATGTATGTTTAATGCTTTTACATTCTTGATTTTTTTTTTCAGAGCCATCCATCTATTGTGGTGTGGTTTTTAAAGCTAATCTACGTACCGTGACTAAAGTTCAGAATGAATATTATCTGAATGCATTTAAGGAGTTTGTTAAAAATACGAAGGTTTTAACTGTGGATGCAAAAGAGTATCATATTGATAATACATGCTTTGAAGATTGTTATACGAAACCTGGACCCGCTCAAAATACAAGCAAAGGTACCATTATTATTTCTTGGAATTGTATATTTTTGGTCATAAATATGAGGTACCCATGAGGTTCCATTATTTTGTCCCAGAATTTTTATACGCCCACATTTTCATGTGGATGTATTATGCCGGTTCCCCTGTCCGTACGGACGTCCTTCCACAATTTTTTTGTGAACACTCTCCAGGTCACAATTTTTATTATACGCCCACATTTTCATGTGGACGTATATTGTCGTTTCTTTTGATATTCGCGCATATCAGACCGTAACTTCCTGAATTATGGCCCCTGATAGTACGAAAAATCCTGTTTTTAGCTTGTAATCCCTTCAGAGGTCACAGTTATTATTCGATTTAAAAACCGTTTGAATATATCACTGTTACACCATAATGTTGGTTGAGTTCGAATTTCGTGAAAATCAGACCAAAACTGATGGAAAAAATGGCCGCCCCTCGCACGCAAATAGTGTAAACATCTGGTATATCAAGGTTGTGGACACTCTTGAGGTCACAATTTTGATCCGATTTTGATGAAACTTGAAATGTATCGGATTGTAACTTCGTGAATTGTGGCCCTTGATTATACAAAAAATCACGTTTTTAGCTTATGGTCCCTATGGAGGGCACAGTTTTTATCCGATTTAAAACAAACGTGTGAATATATCACTGTTACACACTGCAATCTTGATTCCTTTTGATAACTTCCTGGATTATGGCCCCTGATTGTTTGAAAAATCACATTTTTAGCTTGCAGATTCTGTAGGTCACAATTTTTTTTCCGATTTTAAAAACCGTATAAATATATCACCATTCCACCATAATTAAGGTTGAATTTGAATTTTGGGAAAATAGAAATGAAACTGCTTGACAAAATGGCCGCTCTTTGTACACAAATAGTGTAAAAGTATGTAATACGAAGGTTGTGGACCCTCTAGAGGTCACAATTTTTATCCGATTTTGATGAAATTTAAAACATATCTTTATATCCCAAAGATCTCAGTCCCTTTTGATATTTGCACATTTCAGACCATAACTTTCTGGATTATTGGCCCTGATTGTACAAAAAATTGCGTTTGTTTTTAGCTTGTTCTATATCCATCTCTTCCAAAATGTGGGCGTATCCTGCCTGGCAGCCGCTGGTTTCTATCGGCCCATCCATCACACTTTTTTGGACACAATAACTCCGCTTCTAATTGAGCTAGGGGGTAGATGGTCGAATGGTCTGTCATTGACTCTAGTCGCGTGGTTTCAATTCCCCCCTTGTACACTTTTTTGGACACAATAACTCCGCTTCTAATTGAGCTGGGGGGTAGATGGTCGAATGGTCAGTCATTGACTCTAGTCGCGTGGTTTCAATTCCCCCCTTGTACCTGTGTTTTCTCCGGAATTTTCAAACTGGGTGTAAGTGTTTATTAGGTGTTAATATCCGATTGACTTTAGATTTATATACAGTATTTAAGGTCATGAGATGAAGAAGCCTATTGATTTTCAACAATTTCCAATAATTACTGCCAGAGTTATGGCCCTTAATCACTTCAAAAAATCTTGTGGATTACCTAGAGGCTAAAGTTATCATCCGATTGACTTTAGAGTTTAAGGTCTTGAGATGAACAAGTTTATTGATTTTCAATGCATTTTGATAATTTGAACAGCTAAATCCATGATAGTAAATGTATCGTGTACTAAACATTAGCATGGAGGAGAACTTTATAAAAGCCAAACAAATTCTAATAATTTTCTGATAATTACTTAATGAGTTGTTACTCTTAATCAGATTTAAATGTATTATAAATGTTTCATTACCAAAAAAAGTAGAAATATGCGACAACTCTTGTTGACTGCCCTTTCAATTTGAACGGGGGACATCAGCCTCACTATTGGTTTGTTGATCATAATTTTAGGAGGTTGACATCTTGGTTGTAGTGGTCAAATCGAATGCTAACTTTACTGCTTGAATTATTCTAATGCTATTAAAATATTCAAATTCATTATTGTAATTCTATTTGAATATTCAAATTAATTATTATAATGCTATTTAAATATTCAAATTAATTATTATAATGCTATTTAAATATTCAAATTCATTATTGTATTCTAATATTCAAAGTAATTATTCTTATGCTATTTGAATATTAGATTACAATTTTGTTCTACTATGTCTACTTTGCTGCTGAAGGAAATATTGTTTAGTGGTTTAAGTTTGTTTTTGTGTGATTATATAGGTAATAATATCAGTACAACAGTGATCGTCGTGGTAACCTGTGTTGTGGTATTTCTGATCATAGTAGTGGTTGTTATACTCTATCTTAAGAAAAAGAGAAATGGATTACTGTAAGTATTTACTGTTATATAAAGAATAATGACTCTCTCTCAGAGAGAGGGGGGGGGGTGGATGGCCGAATGGTTAGCGCGTGCGTGCTGTATCATTAAGTCTGTCATTGAGTCAACTGGCATGGTTTCGATTCCCCGGTTGTACGTGACAAGGAGTTGGGTCGCTAGTCCAACCTCGTGGGTATTCCTCCCACTGCTAACGACCCCTATTGAAATAAAATTGAACCATATGTTAGTCCCAAAATGACCTAGTTTGTGTCGAGTGGACGTTAAACCCCATTTCTCTCTCTCAGAGAGGAGGGGAGGGGAAATGGGATGGCCTAGTGGTCTAGAGCATCGTGCTTCAAGCTCTAGCGGGCTGGTCACCTCTTGCTTGGTTTCAATCCCTGGTGTGAGTGTATGTGGCTTGGAGATACGGCACCTTCTCAACTTCTTGAGTTTAGCCTTGATACTCTGGTTTCCTCCCATACAAAAGACCCATGCACTAAGAGAGAGAGAGAGAGAAATGGGTTTTAACGTCCACTTGACACAAACCAGGTCATTTCGGGACTAACATATGGTTTAATTTTATTTCAATAATTCGCTTGCGCATAGGGGTCTTTAGCAGTGGGAGGAAACCGGAGGACCCGGAGAAAACCCACGAGGTTGGACAGGCGACCCTACTCCTTGTCACGTACAACCGGGATTCGAAACCGCGCCAGTCGACTCAATGACAGACTTTATGATACAGCGCGCGCACGCTAACCATTCAGCCATCCAACCCCCCCCCCATGCACTAAGACAATAAAAATGATATCACCCTTGGTGGAAGTGGACGTTAAACACTAATAACAACAACATCACTCAGAGAATCACCGAATTATCAAGGAGGTGGGTAGTAGCTGAGTGCTTTAACATGTGCACTTCTTTAGATCATAAGGTCTTTCTTGTCTGACAATCGTGCATCATCATAAATTTTCAACTGTAGAGAGACCTGACATGCTTAACTGCTTTATTCCCATCCCTATCTATCTCAAAGATGCCAACATTAAAGGGACTATCCCGATTTTAACAGAGTCTCAAAAAGAAAAGTCGTTGTACTGTAGGTATGAAATACAGAGGAAAGGTGTATTTACCTTGTCTCACAATTTCAGCTCAAAATATTGAGTCGTTTGGACATAAACGCCAAAACCGCTTATCCGGTCACGTAACCCTTTTAAGTTTCGGGTTAATTTTTTCATTGGGTGACCTTTAGAGGTCTATAGTGCATGACCCAAGTGCTGTACTTGATAACGAAAGTTAAATTTCGCCTACACGTTATTTTTATACATAAAAAGTCTGGTTTTATCCAGACACCGTATAATACAGCTTGGGACACCAGTCTCCATTTGCAGATGAAGACTGACGGATTTAAGTAGTTGGAAAACGTATCACGTATATTGAGTTAGTTGCTCGGCCCTAAATAGAGGATTTTAAGGGCCTTTAACACAAAATTAAGCAGTTTTGTTCTCCAAAATATATTCGAGATTGGCCCTTTAACGAATTACCGTTTTAATATTTTCAGACAATTTAGTATGGTTCGTTTAGAAGAAGACAATGGATTATTAATGGATGACACTAAGGGAGTTCGATTTAGAGAAGGATCAGCCATTATTATTTAAAGCTCAAGAAAGATGACAAAGAGTCTGCTGAAAGTGTCTTTTTAACGGAGATTTTTAAATTTTAAAAATATTATCTTGTGGTGCAGCTTGAATTTTATAGTACATTTTAATAGTTTTAATTCTACTATGGCTTGAAATAGATACATAATTGTTTTTGAAGCCGAGATTGTTAATCTCTTTAAATGAAAATGGTAGATGTACGATAACATTTGTGCAAATTTGTTTTATGGACACCTCTATTATGGTATCTGAACTTAGATTCTAAATTCTTTGGGAAAGAGATTCTGAATCTGGAAAAAATTAAGATTTTGATTCTGAATCTGGAAAAAATTAAGATTTTGATTCTGAATCTGGAAAAAATTAAGATTTTGATTGACAACAATCAAACATGACTACAGACTACAATAAAACTTGAACTTAGGCATTAGTTTTAGAAAGCTAATCCATAGTGATTTCTAAAAACTCATTTTAAGATACATTTGTCTGGTTTTGAGAAAACTATTGCATTATGACTTCTCAATACTGGGTTTAAGATGAATTTATCTTTGTTTTGAGAAAGCTAATCCATAATGACGTCTCGATACTCATTTTAGGATACATATGTTTCTTTTATGGCGGCTATTGTCTTTGGCAGCAGTAGTCTCGTTTCCGTGAATAATAAGTGATTGATTGTTATATTTAAAAGGATAAATCTATGAAAGAATACGAACAAATCTGATAAATTGTTTTAAACATAATTTTATGCATTTCTATTACAAATAGATTGGACATTGATATGATTTTAGATTAGACATTATATACAGGCCAAGCTTTTTCTTCAAACCAATTTCAGATTTTGACATGATAAAAATATTGAATATGAAAATAACCACATTAAAATGGCTTTTCAAAAATACGTATCAGGGATCTTAATTGATTGATTATAGTCGGCTTCAGTGGCTTGATGAATGAATTGATAAAACAGTGACCTGTAAATGGTCTGATTGCCAGTTTATTTCAAAATGGATTAAGAATCCTGATACGTATACAGGATGAGTTGTGATATATTAAATATAGTGCTAATACTTTTAAAAAATATAATCTTTTAGGCCAATAAAAAAAAATTACCTGTGTTTATGGTCCAATAAATTGATCATAGTGAGTCATCATTATTGTTGAGAACATGAATCAGTAATTAAGGTAGAAATGTTAGGAAATAGATAACAGATACTTTACGGTATTCAAAAGGACATGACAAAGGCATTAGAATACATGTATCGATAATTAGTTCAGTTAATCTTAATCCATAAACCCTAGTGAGAATAAAAAAAAAGATTAATCAACCAACCAGCCGACCCTATTTTTTGGACCAAATAACCGTAAACACAGGTTTTATTTTTTTTTTGGCATTAGTACTAACAAACATCTTATATTTGGTTTTAACATTTAACAAAATATATATTAGAATTATTTCTTTTGTTGTGATTTTATTATGATTTTGTTGAGTTTGTTATATTTTTGTTGTGTTTATTTAAACAGAGTTTTTTTTATCTTGTATATATATATATATATATATATATATACGTTAAAACAGCACTCTTGTTTCACTCATTATTGTCAATTTTGACAGACTGGGCGACCTTCGGTAATCATGATTCTGACTATGGTCGTACTAACTGAATCCGAATTTTGTTTACTCCGGACCATAATCTGAATCTATGTAAGTCTAAGAATTATGCATTATTTCAATATTCAATATTTGTGCTATGCAAAAAGTAAAATCAAATTACAAGGAAATTTGTTGTCTCTAAAAATTAATTTGAATCGCGCAAGTTTAATTTCATGAAAGTATTATCTGTTTATTAAACTATATAACATCATATTATAGCGATTCATTATGCTCCATGGAGAGATGTATAGACCATCCTTGAGCTTAAGGGTTTTTTTTTTCAGGTTTATGGTCAAGGTCTAAAGCAGAGTAAAATAACATCACCATGTCCGTCTTTCAACAGACCACTAGTTGTGAAAAAATTATAACCGAAGGTCGCCCTTGTGGTAAAATTGACTGACTGGAGAACTCACTTATCTGTCAATTTTCAATTACATTTTTACTAAATTTAAGCTTAAAACCCAATCTTCAGTTTGGTTGATATTATTCGTTAATTTTCACAGATTTTCATATTTTATATTGATAAGAATAAACAAAATGTGAACAGACTGGTAAAGAAAGTTGAGTCCTTATGTGGATCAAATATATTATTTCCCTCTCCTCACAACCTTTGAATGATGATAAAGTTTTAATGGAAATATTCCATGTTCTGTGCATATCGATAAAACATTAACAAATGATCAATCAATCTTCCATTATCAGGAATCATTATTATTCAAGTGAGAAATTGAAATAATTTAAAAGGAAAAAAAATAACTGGATTGATTTGAAGTGACTGAAGCATGTGAATGAAATTATATTCAAGATCTCAGCGTTTTTATAACTCTTTGTGCATAAATGTCTGAGCTATATATATATTTGCATGAAAGGGAACGCTTGATATATAGAGTAGATTAATTTGTGTATAAAATTTCATAAAGATATCTTGGAACACAAAAATTATGAATTTTAAAAAGTTGGAAAAGGCACAATGGCTATTAAAAAGTTATGTGTGTATGAAGTTTCGTAAATATATCGTGAGTGGTTTCCAAGATATGACAATGAAATGTCTGCTATCCTTAAATGTAACGATAATTAGATGTTGTTGGATTGTTATAAAGCTATATTTTATTATTGTGTTGACGATTCTCTATGGATGATCTAGGCCATAGAAAAAACCAAATCTGGTTCTCAGATACTTCCACATCACTTCATAAAGCCTGTCATTGAGTCAATTGGCGTGGTTTCGAATCCCTGGTTGTACTTGACAAGGGGTCGGGTCGCCTGTTCAACCTCGTGGGTTTTCTCTGGGTCCTCCGGTTTCCTCCCACTGCTAAAGACCCCTACGCGCAAGCGAATTATTGAAATAAAATTAAACCATATGTAAGTCCTGAAATGACCTATGTTGTGTCGAGTGGACGTAAATAAGGGCTTATTAATAATTTCTATTACATTTGAAGCCTATAGAAAATTCGAATGAACCCGAAAATGTACAATAGGCTCAATTATCAAGTACACATTGATAAATGTTATTAACAATCATAAATGATACTGGATAATCATACAATCAACAAGATGATTAGATAAATGAGTAAGGATTGTCTGAGAACCAAATATTTTTTTTGTACAGCCTTATGTTGAACTATGGTTGTATATAGAAGTTGTTGACATATATGTAATGATTCCTATTTCTGTATCGACATATCATCTTTTCATTATTATGTAATTGTTACTCCATTTATTCAAGCCTTTAAATAAAGGCACCTGTCACAGTCATTCAGACTTCTGTCAGGCACAGTTCCTCTGTTGTCTGTCAGTTGGTCTGGCATACATTTGTCTTTTCTCCAGTTTCAAGAAAATGACCTCTTTGATTTTAGTCGCAAATAAAATGGCCATTTGATTAAATTTGATGGTTTATGCTGGAAAAATTTTCTACAGCGATTGATAAAGCCCATTTTAGAGAAAATCAAGCCTTGAAAAATTAGATATGGTCCGAAAAATGCAGGGAGTTCGACTCTGGTGTCGGCCGAGCAAGGTCATGAGGATTTTGGAATTCGATGTGAGAGTAGGCCATAGCTCAACTCTCTGGACAAGTTTCCCGCATAGCACACTGTATAGCATATGACCGCCTTGCTTAGCCAGGTTGGTGCTGAACAGTAGGACGTTAAACCCCATTTCATTTCATTTACATTTCCGAAAAATGTAAATAACAATCATCGGCTTTAATGATATCAAACTTTTTTCTCCTTTATTGTTAGAAATACCACATCAGATTAATCCAACTGTTGATTGTGATTTAAATCAAAGAGATTTACCTCTATTTAATTACCATCTTACAATTATAATGCACAATGTATTTCATGTTTTCTCTGTATTTGAAGTGCAGACACTTGTCTCTTGATCTTATCCATTCTTATCTTTCGTCAATAAGGTTCGTTTTCCATGTATGCTATTTCGCAGTCCCATTACAACATTTGCCTGGAAAACGGGCCTTAGGCTTTATTGACTCATCTTAATGTGATAAAAATGTCTAAGATAAAATTCATGGAACAAATAAAGATAACAGTGTTGATGAATATTACCGTCTGTACCAGTAGATCTCTAGAGCCATATTCATAAAAACTTAAACTATTATAAGAATTTGGTACTTTCATTGGTAAGAAATTAAACTATTTTAAGAATTCAGTGGTTTCATTGGCTGAGAACTTAGAATATTTTAAGAATTCAGTACTTTCATTGGCTGAGAACTTAAACTATTTTAAGAATTCAGTACTTTTATTGGCTGTGAACTTAAACTATTTTAAGAATTCAGTACTTTCATTGGCTGAGAACTTAAACTATTATAAGAATTCAGTACTTTCATTGGCTTAGAGCTAAAATTTGTACTATGATTTTAAATCTCTACCAATGAAATGGCTACCTACTAGAAATATTTTAGTTGAAGTTTTCATAAATAAGGTCCAGATTGCGCCAACTTGTATTAATATATGCATGCATGCATGTTTTCATATCATTCAGTGTTCAGTTATCTTTCAAACAGTAATTTTATGATGTTAAACATTTGCTTGATTTGGCTTTAAAAATATAGCATTTAGAGACACAAAAAGGGTGATAAAATGATCTTCAAAGAGTTTAAACTCTTGGATTTTCTATTGGTCAAAGAGGTATAAAACAATTATTTTACTTTGGTCATGATCTATTCCAATTTTTAACTCGTTGCGTCGAAATTAGGGTTGTGTAAGAAAATAAGAATTCTGTGATCGTTGTCTCAGATTTTAAATTGGTCAAAGAGGCATAAAACAATTATTTTACTTCGGTTATGATCTATTCCAAGTTTTAACTGGTTGCGTCAAAATTTGGGTTATGTAAGAAAATAAGAATTCTGTGATCATGGTCTCTGTTGTTTGTTTAAGATGTGATAATCTGATATTACTGTTATATCTCTTGTGTATATAATGTATATATATATAGTTATTTGTAGCGCTTGTGTTTTCTATTGAACAAGATATTTGGTTTCTTTCTTAAAGCATGTGGCAAGATGAGTGAAACTAGCTATAATATAGAGTCCTTGCTTTAAAAAAGAAATTGATGTGTCTTGGAATTAACATGACTTTGAATTAATGCGACTTTGAATGGATGTGACTTGGAATTAATGTGTCTTGGAATTAATGTGATGTTGAATTGATGTGATTTTGAAATAATGTGACTTGAAATTAATGTCACTTTGAATTTTTGTTATTTGGAATTAATATGACTTTGAATTAATGTAACTTGAAAGTAATGTGTCTTCAAATTAATGCAACTTTGAATTAATGTCACTTTGAATTACCATAATATGTCTTGGAATTAATACATCTTTGAATTACCATAATACGACTTTGAATTTCCGTAATATGTCTTAATGCGACTTCAAGGATGTAGACATAAATGTTTTTAATAAAATTAATGCGATTTATCCGCAGCATTCAAATCTTTTGTTGACTGCTGTGGGTTGTAATGAGATCTGAATTGAAATTGGAAGTAACATTTATCGAATTAACTTTTTATATTTGAATATATAAGACATATCAAGGAGTAGAAAGTTAGCATTGAGTGAGAATTAGCGATTCGAGATTTAATATTTCTTCCTAAAAGGGTAAGATAACTTGTTGCCGGCAAGGGCCAAAGATAATGGATTTTAATAATGCCACGATTGACATTTATCAGCCATTAAGAGATTTTTTTGTTTGCTTGTTTGTTCATTAATCTCCATTGTTTTGAAATCGTTACTCATACGTTTTTTTTATTTTTTAACATTCCATAATATATTAATTATATTCATAGCTGAATAGAAAACCATGTGTTTGTTAAAAACTGCTTATTTATTTTTTGCTGTAATTTTTGTGATTGTTTGAGTGTTTTGACCCAAAATTATTTGGGATATTTAAAAATTTGACCCAAAATTATTTGGGACTTTTAAAAATTATTTTAAATTGTAAGATATAGCATTACTGTTTTAGGACACCCAAATCAATTGGGATTTTTTTTAATTCTCATTGTCTAAATTTGTAGAATAGAAAAAAATTTTTGACTGTTTTTTTATTGGACTAAGTTTGAATTGAGCTTTGCTGTTTTGAAGTCAGATTGTGCCATAAGAGTATGAAATTTTATATTTTTTCAAAATAAAATCCTTCCATATTTTGCACTGCTCAAATCATTGTATTAATCCACCCCCAGAAAATTATTATATCAAATTAAATAATTATATATATAAAATATTAACACTTCTTATAATATCAAAATTAAATTTGGGGTTTCACAGACTTGATCTGTCTTATTCCCGAGACCCTTATATACATGTATTACACACTAGTTAGAGCTTCACAATAATGCTGAGACCCTTATGCGCTAGCTAGAGTATCACAATAAAGCAATTTTTGGGGTCCATCAATTACGCCTGTGTTATAATGAAGATCTTAAAGGCAATGGTGTTATTTCAGATTCAAAATGCGGCACTTTGTTTATAATATTTAAGATTTAAACATAACACATTTATTTTTGAGAATTGAAACGTAACACTTTTGTTTATAATAATTAAAGATGCATTATGTAAGATTTAGAGCTGGCCGTTCTGGTTATACTTCTTCAAAAATAGATAATGAAAAATGAATATATTGACAATTGTTTATTATCGTAGCAACGGTGCTGGACAAACAAGACTTAGTCTTGATTATCCATTTTATCGTTAAATTTTGAAATCTAGGGAGCGATCAAATCCATTTAAATATCTGCTATCCAATGGTTTATAATATAATAATTTATATAACATGATTATAATATAACATAATTTATACCACATGATTATAATATAATATAATTTATATGACATGATTATAATATAATATAATTTATATAACATTTGAATCCACCAGAATAATCTGCAGTAGGCAGATTTTACTCTTACATAATGCATGTTTAACATATTTGTTTATACAAGATTTAAGACATAACGCTTTTGTTTATAATAACAGATAAATTTATTAAATTCTTAATTAAATCTATACCAATATTTTCTCCTGTTTTATTTTTTGATTGTATGTTCCACTATGTCTAAAGACAAGTCTTCCTTGAGCTTATTCAAAAAAAATGTGAGGTGTAATTGGTCGACCAATTAAAAAACTTGCTGTAGAAAATTCTGCAAAATGTTTTGAAATGACCAATAATAAGAGACATCCTTTTATTGGAGAGAGAAATTATGTCTTAAGACATTTGATGAGGAACCCGGTTGCGATCTCCTTAAATTTGTCCGGAGATGTTACAGAGGCAGGATTTAGAGAAAAAGATGACCATTCTTGCCCTAATAGTTAAATAATGATATATGTCTAAATGTTAATTTGAAGCCAGAAAAATGTCTTGCAATAGGCAAATTTAGCTCCTCGCATAAGGTCTCTTTAATGGAGTGACCATCAGAATAAAATGTACATTAAAACAAACAAAAAACATCTATTCTTTATGGTACATTTCAATCTGATTAAAACACAGATCCTATTTCGTTTAGTTTTTTATAGTTCAAAATTTCGTTTTATTTGTCTTTATTACACTAGGATTTGGAAGAGTTGTTATCATTGACATGTCCAATATTTCACTAGTATAAATAATGTACGATTGGCAAGTTGCCTGTACCATTATTTGAAATAATGGTACGCCAACATCAAAGGGTGATGCCACATCTGTATTTTAATATCAAATAACATATGACACAATTTTTATACGCCCACAATGGACGTATATTGTCGTCGCCCCCGTCCGTCCGTCCACAATAGTTTGTACAGTCTACAGGTCACAATTTTTATCCGATTTCAATGAAACTTGAAATATAGCTTTATCGCCCTAAGATCTCGGTTCCTTTCGATATTGGCATGTATCGGACCGTAACTTCATGGATTATGGCCCCTGATTGTACGAAAAATCATGTTTTTGGCTTGTGAACACTATAGAGGTCACAATTTTTATCCGATTTGGTTTAAGCTTGAAATGTATGCTTATAAGCCAAAGATCTTGGTTCCTTTCGATATCTGTGCATATCGGAACATAACTTCCTGAATTATGGCCCCTGATTGTACGAAAAATCGTGTTTTTAGCTTGTGGACCCTATAGAGGTCATAATTTTTCTCTGATTTAAAAAAACGTATTATTATATCACCGTTACACTCTAAGGACGACTGAGCTCAAATTTCGTGAAAATCGGCCCAAAACTGACAGACAAAATGGCCGCCCTTCGTTCTCAAATAGCGTAAAAATATGGTATATCAAGGTATAGAGGTCACAATTTTTATCCGATTTTGTTGAAACTTGAAATGTAAGTTTATAACCCAAAGATCTTGGTTCCTTTCGATATTTGCGCATATCGAATTGTAATTTCCTGAATTATGGCCCTTGATTGTAGGAAAAATCACTTTCGTTTTAGCTTGTTTTCTATCCATCTCTCGAAAATGCGGGCGTATCCTGCCTGGCAGCCGCTGGTTTGGAATATAATTACCGTTTATTACTGATCGAGAGTTGGACTAAACTTTTCTAGTCCTTGCTTGATAAAGTAATTGTATTTGATAAAATTGTGTTTGGGGTATTTACATTTCAATCACTAAATGCCATTAAAACAAGTTTAGTGTTATTACATGTATTAATAAACAAAGCGACATTGACTAGTGTGGATTGTTTTGTATAAAATACAGGGTTAGTTGTTGGATCAGGAACTGCGGCATTATTCACAAAAACTTGGGGACCAGGAACTGGGGCATCATTCACAAAATCTTGGGGACCAGGAGGCATTATTCACAAAAACTTGAGGACCAGGAACTGTGGCATTATTCACAAAAACGTGACAAGGAGTAGGGTCGCCTGTCCAACCTCGTGGGTTTTCTCCGGGTCCTCCGGTTTCCTCCCTCTGCTAAAGACCCCTATGCGCAAGCGAATTATTGAAATAAAATTAAACCATATGTTAGTCCCGAAATGACCTAGTTTGTGTCGAGTGGACGTTAAACCCCATTTCTGTCTCTCTCTCTCTCTATTCACAAAAACTTAAAGTGAAGTATTTTAAGAATGAAAAAGCTACATCTTTGAAATATTATAACTTAAGTTTTCATAAATAAGCCCCCTGGTCCCCAAGTTCTGTTCTTCTTGGTGTTATGAGGATGACACACACTGAGAAAAAAGCGTAAGGCCTTGCCAATTGAATCAACATGGAACTTGGCATGATTGTTCTTTGGGCAATTGCTTATAGATTGATGGACTTTGATATTTGATATGAATTACAATTCAAAGATGTTCGGTTCCTGGTCCATAGTATGCTCATACTTGTTTCCTTGTCAATAGTATACATGTACATACCTTTATTAGATTTGTAAAAAAGAGAGAGAGAAATAGGGTTTAACCTCCACTCGACACAAACTAGGTCATTTCAGGACTAACATTTGGTTTAATTATATTTCAATAATTCGCTTGCGTGTAGGGGTCTTTATCAGTGGGCGGAAACCGGAGGACCCGGAGAAAACCCACGAGGTTGGACAGGCGACCCTAGTCCTTGTCACGTACAACCGGGGATTCGAAACCACGCCAGTTGACTCAATGACAGGTCTTATGATACAGCACGCACATGCTAACCATTCGACCATCCAACCCCCCTTGTAAAAAAAGAAAAAAATGCTATAATTCACAGTGTTGTCTATTTTGCAGGCCTTTTGGGAAGATCAAGGGTGGGGGGGGGGGGGGCAAATGGTTGAAAGTGTGCACATTATCTGTCATTAGTCCAGTGGTGTGGTTTTGATTCCCTGCTTGTACATGAAAAGGAGTACGGTTTGCCTGTCTAACTTTGTGGGTTTTCTCCGGACCCTTGTTTCCTATCACAGCTAAATAGCCCTATGTGCAAGCGAATTATAGAAATTAATTTGAACCATATGTTAGTCCCCAAATGACCTAGTTTGTGTTGAGTGGACGTTAAACCCCATTTCTCTCTCTTTGGGGAGATCTTGCCAGTTGGGGAGATCAGGCCAGTTGAGGGGGTAGTTTCATCTTTTAAGAATTCTTGGTTAGGTTTCCCCAAAGGCTGTCCCATAATTCATTGATCAGAACACACAATCTTTAAATCACAGGCATTATTTAAGAGCTTAATCTGTCTATTGTAGGTCTTTCTTTGGGCCTTATTATTAAATGTTTTTGAACTATTAATTAGACATTTATTAACATGACAAGACCATAATCTACTGTCGATGCCATCAAATACCTCTGATTTTAAGTAGATTAGAACGGTTCAGCCATTCAATGATTTAATTTAAAAATGGTGAAGCGAGGCTAAGACTCAAATGACCAGTACGGTATTTACGATCAATGCACACATCTTGTCAGAACTACAGCCATTGATAACTTTGCTCAAAATAAAGAAATTTGAATGAAATTTTCAATATATTCATTTAACATTATCTATTTTTGAAATATAGCCAGAACGGCCAGCTCTTTATCTAAATCTTACATAATGTATCTTTAAAATAAACTGACATTTAAATATTGTTTAATGGTCGAGACCGAGACATTACGTAATATATTGTAACAACAAGAGGATTGTAGGCCTGAGTGTTTTTACAATATATTACGCAATGTCTTAAGCTCGAGACCATTAAACGACTTAAAATAAAGACACTTTGGGCGTGCTTTTACAGTGAAATACGTCATGCGAGTCCAATATTTCACTAGTATAAATAATGTACGATTGGCAAGTTGCCTGTACAATTATTTGAAATAATGGTACGCCAACATCAAAGTGTGGCGTCACATCTGTATTTTAAATGATCATTATGTATGTATGATCATTATGATTGTATCAATCAATAAAATAATTTCCGGTTTGTGTTACTTAATATATCATTTGTGTTTTTATCAGTTTATTTGTATTAATAAAATCATTTTATTCTTATTTAATTAATAAAGTTGTTGTTATGTTCTTGGGAGCCACGCTGGCTAGTAAGGCACTAGCTCGCTAACCAGGGGATTAAGGTTCACACAAAATTCATAGTGGAATCAACTGGCGCATAAAAAATTACATTTTGTTGTTCCCCGCCCTTTCAAACAAAACCGGGGACTATTCAAATGGGTCTGTCCGTCTGTCACACTTGTTGGGACAAAATAACTCTCTTTCTAATTAAGCTAGAATGTTCAAACTTGGGTGTAGATATTTATTAGGCCAATGCCTTGATGGAGTTCGAAGATGAGCATTTTCTGCTTAGGGTAAGCAGAGATAAGCAATTTGATTGGTTGATGCTTTGGGACATGATAACTTTAGTTCTTATTAAGTGAGAGTGATGGAAGCTTTGGGACATGATAAATTTAATAGTAAGTGCAGGAGGACCGCACTACACGCAAAACAAAAATCTACAAGATAAACCTGCGGACAAGACAGAAAATATACATTGCAATATTTGCACCAAATAAACAAATATCAAATCAAATTTTATTACATCAATACCTTGACTAAGTTCGATAATGAGCAATATCTGCTCAGGGTAAGCAGAGCGTTAAGCAATTTGATTGGTGAAGACTTTGGAACATAACTCTCCTAATTGAGGTGGAATGTTCAAACTTGGTGTACATGTTCATTAGGTCAATGCCTTGATGGAGATCGATGATAAACATTGTATGCTTACGGTAAGTATAGATAAGCAATCTGATTGGTTGATGCAGGATAACTTTGGTTATAATTAAACTTACAATTTCATATTTTCTAAGAAAGTCAAAACATAATTATTTCTATGTCTTTTGCTCAATAGGTTGTCAACTCACTATTATACGATCATAGGTTATCTTTCTCACACTTAAAAATCTTCACACCGGAAATAATAACACAATTACCTCTCAATTACCTCCCTTGTTTTCCTATTCCCCACCATGGAAGAGCTATCTTCAAACGTTTGAATTCAAAGTTGAAAATGATATTTTTGCCAATTTCTCAACTGGCAATTGTGAATTATAGGATTAATAGGATTATTCTTTAACAAGGTAGGACTGTTTATAGATACTATCTATTTTAGGGTTTTATTTTAATACATTTTAAAAATATAACTTAAAAATATGAAATTGTAACTTTCAACAAGTGAATAAAAATACTACAATTTATTGAACTCCGTATGGACCGTAATATATATTAAACAAGCCAACAGTGAGGCTGATGTCCCCCGCCGAAATAGGAAAATAATTAGAGGACACATATAAATTTATCACAAATTATCTTTTACAAAGTATTGAACAATCAAACAGTATATCTTTACTTATAGTCTAACAATCAAAGTAGGAGAGTTATTGTTTTCCAAAGTCTCGACCAATCAAATTGCGTATCGCTCTGCTTACCCTGAGCAGAAAATGCTCATTATCAAACTTAGTCAAGGTATTACTGTAATGAAACTATACACCAAGTTTCATCAATCTCACTTAATTAGAACTAAAGTTATCGTGTCCCAAAGCATCAACCAATCAAATTACTTATCTCTGCTTACCCTAAGCGGAAAATGCTCATCTTCGAACTCCATCAAGGCATTGACCTAATCAACACATACACCAAGTTTGAACATTCTAGCCCAATTAGGAAGAGAGTTATCGTGTCCCAAAGCATCAACCAATCAAATTGCTTATCTCTGCTTACCCTAAGCGGAAAATGCTCATCTTCGAACTCCATCAAGGCATTGACCTAATAAACACATACACCAAGTTTGAACATTCTAGCTCAATTAGGAAGAGAGTTATTGTGTCCCAAAAAGTGTGACGGACAGACAGACGGACGGACAGACAGACGGACGAACCCATTTTAATAGTCCCCTGCTTTCTTCGAAAGGCGGGGGACAAAAATACACAAGTCGGGCTGATGCTGATATGAATAGGACAGAGACTAACATCATTAAAGTTCGGAGCCACGGTGGCTAAGTGGGTAAGACGCCTGCTTACTAAACTGGAGGTCACGTGTTCGATCCCTGCATTGGCCAAGAAAGTTCATCTGGGTTTTCCGACGGGGTTTCCCCTTGTCAGTGGTGCAGGGCGGAGGGCTTAGCAAGGACAGCTGTCTAGTTGTTCGGATGGGACGGAAAACCAAGGTTATAAATTGGAGTCCTCCGCGCCCCCCCCCCCCTAAAAAACTGTTAATTGCTTGATTTGTCGAGTGGACGTTCAACCCCATTCAACCCCACCACCCTTCATTTCATTTTCATTTGAACGTCAATAAAAACCGATAATAATTGTTACCTTTGTATTAGAGAATAATGTTTTAAAACACATGAATACATAATATAAGTACTAGACCAAAAATAACCACATTAAGTCATTACTGTACACACACTAAAATGTCACACACTAATATTTCACAGAATCAAGGGATGAATAAACTACTAGACTGCAAAATTTCAAAAGCCTCCTTTGCTGTTTTGTCGACATAGAAAATCGGGTTATTTTAGTCTCAATACGCACATAATAACTTCTTAACTAGCTTTGGTGGCTCCAAGATGTTTATGTTTTCGAATTAACGGATGAATAAGTTATGAACATACCAATATTCATTACCTTTCTATGATGCATTATCAAATTACTCGTAGGATACCTGGCTTTACACGGGCTCAAATTGGCCCGGGGCTCAAATTTGCCCGGAGCCTAAATTCGCCCTTGGTCCAAGTACGCCTGTAGCCCAAATTTGCCAGGGGCCCATATTCGCCCAATGCTCAAATTCGCACGAAACCAAAACTTGCCCAAGGCCCAATTTGTGCTTTTTAATTTGATACGAGATATGTGGGGGTGGAGCGCGGCAACGAAGCGTAATTCGCTTGGGGCCCGAATTCAATGGCCTAAAACATTCATGCTGTGATGCTGGTTAATTTAATACCACATAATAATGTGGGTGGAGCGCGGCGAAAATACATACAAAGATACATACACACACCCATACACACTTAGATTTTATTTATATAGATATCACCTCAAAGTTCTCATGGCCACGAAGCGTGATGGGCTAACATCCATACATCCATACCTACATACATACACAACTTGATTTTATTTATATAGATATCACTGCAAACTTCTCATGACCCGGATTCGGGACAAACTTTTGGAGTTTATTAATCAAAGGGTACGTTCAGGCTGCATCAAAACCACTTAAATGAGCCTTGGTGGCAAAATGTTATTTATTTCACCGATTCAACTACCAGACTGCACACTTTCAGGACCCGGAAAAAACCCATGTGGTTCGACAGGCGACCTATCCCTTGACACGTTAACCATTCAGCTACCAAAACCCATACTGTTCTTCTCCAACTGAGCTAATGAAAGCGAATATACGTCATGCAGTGTGCTACGAGGGCCAACTCTTATTTCGAATTCTAATGGTAAAGGATTCTTGTACGTGGACACCAATGAATGTGAAAGAGAGAAAGAGAGAGAGATAGACTCGACACAAACCAGGTCATTCTGGGACTAACAATTTTATTTCAATAATTTGCTTGCGCTTAGGGGTCTTTAGCAGTAGGGAAACCCGGAGAAAATCCACACGATTGGACAGGCGATCCTAATCATTGTCACGTTCAAGCGGCGAACTGAGCCATTTGAATCAATGACAGACCTCACCCCTTTCCCCACGCCAATGTGTACACGGGACCCCGTTTTTTTTGTCCCATCTGAACGACTACACGTTATCCGTTGCCAGGCCCTCCGTCCTCCATCCCACACAACTGACAAGGGATGACATCTCCAGAAAAATCCCGATGCACTTCGATTGGAGTTAGAGAGCAAACTTCCTACTCACGGAGGCACCGTAGCCCCCACTTCATTTAGATTCCGGACACGGGATCTCGGTTATTTTTATTCCATCCGAACGACTATACATTGTCCCTTGTCAGGCCCACCGTCCTACACATCGCAAGAAAACTTTGATGAAGTTAGAGAGCATACGGCCTACTCACTGGGCCACCGTAGAACCAACTTCATTTGGATTCCAGGAACAGGACCTTGTTTTTTTAATCCCATTCGAACGACTATGCGTTGTCCCTTGTCTAACTCTACATACTACAGCACTGACAAGACCACGCATCAAAAAACCCGATGAAGGTTGATGAAGTTAGAGGGCGAAGAAAGATTCGACTGAAGACTTAAAATCGATTAGAGAATACACTACTATCTGTCCATGAAGAGATTAAAATTGTTTAGGACTATAAAATTTTCTAGAACTTCAAACATTTCCGTTTATTATAATCCATGTCCAAATATAAATGCTGATAGGGTAGTCAGTGGACATGCGTATAAACTGCATTTCCGAGGCAAGAAGACGAGATGTCGAGATTGTGATGAAGCGAGGGAGCGAGAGGACGAGATTAACTCAAAGGCGAGGGAGCAAGAAGTCAAGGATTTTCAAAGGCGAGAAAACGAGGGAGCGAGAAGTAGAGGGCGAGGGAGCGAGAACACAAGGATTTTCAAAGGAGAGAACACGAGGGAGCGAGAAGTCGAGGTGAAAATAAACTTGTGTTCTCGGGGCGAGATCCTCGCATTCTCGCCCTGTTTCCTCGTGTTCTTGCCCTCGACTTCTCGCTCCCTCGTGTTCTCGCAAGAACACAAGGATTTTCAAAGGCGAGAACACGAGGGAGCGAGAAGTCGAGGGAGCGAGAAGTCGAGGTGAAAATAAACTTGTGTTCTCGGGGCGAGATCCTCGCATTCTCGCCCTGTTTCCTCGTGTTCTTGCCCTCGACTTCTCGCTCCCTCGCGAGAACACGAGGATTTTCAAAGGCGAGAACACAAGGGAGCAAGAAGTCGAGGGAGCGAGAAGTCGAGGTGAAAATAAACTTGTGTTCTCGGGGCGAGATCCTCGCATTCTCGCCCTGTTTCCTCGTGTTCTTGCCCTCGCCTTCTAGCTCCCTTGTGTTCTTACCCTCAAGATTCTGAAATCGCTGCAATAG